TTCGCTCTCCATAGTTGAGCTCGGGAGTTTCCTTACTGATTATTGGAATTTGTATACGAGTTAGAATAGAAGTCTACAGAAACCTCGAAATTTCCATATTGTCGCCGTAACACGTGGTTGGCCGGATTGAAGATTGAAGGTCAGCTACCCGCTAACGTCCGGCTGGTGTCCCACTTCTTCGGATTTTGGTAGGGCGGCGTTGCCTCTGTGCAGCTCGGACTGCCACCTGCATCACATTGGAAGGGCCATCCGGCTGAGTTCATTATCGCTCAGAACGACGAGGTGAGTCATCGAGTCACACCTGCATTATCGGTATCCTATGTACAGGTAGCAGAGCTCGATCCCTGTCCTGACTGGCTGACGGCAAATATCACACAAGCGTCGAAAAAAATGCTGCTACGCTGGGCCAGAGAAGCTCGGTTAGTCTTGGTGACCTCGAGAAACGATATATCTAATGTTCAGTTATCGGTTGAGAGATCGCCGTGGTAAGCACTAGAAGGTAAGAACAATGGTGTGTATGCCCATGATAACCATTATGCAGTCGCTCAGTGAATGTAGTTCATGTTGTTAGTTTAGTGTAGTTTAGTTGTTGTGTATGTAAGTAACATTGAATGGGTACTAGCTATTAGGTAGAAGTCAACTGTAGTTTGGAGTTGTCGATCACCCACTGCTGAGCATCATGAGTTTACCTTTGCCACTCCAAGTGCGATGTGAATTGACTCTGATTCGTTAGTTCGAGAGACATTCTGTTACTCTCAGAAGAATTAGGGCATTTATTGCTGTCGATACCCGCATCGATTCAAGCTGATTTGCTTGTGAATTTTTACCCACTATCGTAGTCGACTATGACTGGGTCTGTTGCGATGATGGATATCACGATAGATCCTGAATCAATGAGGCCCAAAGCCGAACATCAGTACATCCAGCTTGTCGGCCTCTCTAAGCAGTCGTTACAGTCGGGTTGGTCATTGTCAGTCCTTAATAAGGTTCAAGATGTTACTTTTGTAGATGCCGAGTCTATCATGATGCCCACTGATGCTCCAGCAGGTGCCCAACCTAGTATCTCTGGTACGGTTCTCGCACTGAGCTGTATTCTCCGACCTCGTGGTGGCGCGAGTTCTGTTGTGTGGGTACTTCACTTTGCTGATGGTGAAGTTCCGGTTGCTTTTAAAGGAGCAAATAATATCATCAACCGTAGTTGTCTCTGCCCTGGCTCGTCAGTGGAGATCGTTGGAGTACTGAAGAGAGGCTCTGCACCAGTAAGCGGCCGACGATGTGAAATCTGTCTGACAGAGTCGACAGTCTCGATTCGTCGCCTTGGCGAAGGCCATTCTGGATTGCGAATCAAAATTGCTTACGTGCTGGCTGGTGCTGCTATACTGGGGGCTTGCTGTTCAGACGGTAAGTTGGTTTTGGTATGTCTACATCAATGGTGCCGTTGTCAGAGTGAGCTCTTATGCTCTCGAATGGTTATCGACTGCTACGGTCTTACAGAGGTTCCCAGCAAGGCAATGCCGATATCGATAATCCTCATGGCGAATATCCACTCGACAATAATCGTGCAGTCGGTTGACGACGTTCAGGACCGGCGGCTCGAGCTCGAGCCTTTCTATAAGCCCGTGACTAAGCTCCCATCCACAGTGCATGAGGGATGCCCGTTGCATGCAGTCAGAGCGTTGTGCCGTTCTCTTGACCCACAGCTTGACACTAGAATTGCACATAGCGAGCCGTGTACGAATCCGGCTCTCGTGTTGGGGTATTCTTCTATACTAACCCGACCTGAGACAGTTCGTCCTGTATGCCGTGGTCCATCCATGGTTTTCCGCGAGCTACCCTCTTGCTGGCATCGACAGATTTTCGAGTGCGCGCGGAATATGATGCCAGGAGAGCCGTTCAGTGTGGCTTGTACACCTCGCGCGGACTCTGTGGCCATTTATGAGACACGATACAATAATGTGATATTAATAACTGAATGATAACATTGGCTTATCTGAGCTAGACAGAAATCTTGGCTCGACAGAAATTAAGTAACTTAATTTAAGTTTGGTGAAGTGCACCCAATTTGGTAACAGTGTCTGGTGCTACGTTGGATATCCCCGACGTATTATGCGTTATGGTGTTAAGGACATAGAGTGAATCGATCTAGGTCTGCAAATGATACGGTCCGATTATCTCGATTATCTTAATTTGTCCTCCATAATGATACACGTCCTTCACATTTGCATATCAAATTTACACACATAATGTACATCTTACTTTCTAACAAGAAACTACTAACACGAAAATTAACAGGAAGCTCCTTAGCTCAGGTAAGGAAAGCGCACGTATCTTCTCACATTGGACAATTGCGCACCAACTCGCAAAGTCACACGCCATTAAACTTAGCGCCCGCCCAGATAAGCACACGTGAACTTTGAATTTTTGTGCTGCAAGGTTTCAAAGTTTAGTGAAGTGCACCCAACCTGGTAACCGTGTCTGGTGCTACATTGGATATTCCCAACATATTATGGGCTATGGTGTTAAGGATATTGAGTGAATCGATCCATGTTTGCAAATGTTATGGTACGAGTATCTTTGATGTGGTCGGGACCTTGACTATCGACTAATGTGAAATTGCCTGAGTGACACGTTCTAGGCGATTTGGGACGAACCTGGGAGACGCTCTAGATGTTCCCTTCACTTGCAAAGTAACATTGATGAGACAATCGTATAGTAACATCAGTACCTAGAGATAGATGACTCGTATTAGGTCGTCAGCTGTTACGCAGCATGATAGCACGGACAAGTGAGGCGAGGCAGTCCTGACAGCCTTCACTTCTGATATGTCCCATAAAGTTGCACGCATAGTCCATAAGTCCAGAAAGTCATAACGTATAGTCCGATTGAAATCAGTTCTCACTGGATCGTCTGCAAAGGATGTCGAACATGACCAGCATTTGAGGGAGGTACCGGGTTAGATCCCTGCAGGTTGCATTTTTCCCGTCCCGACTTGCTGTTGCAACGAATTTTCGCAAGGACTAAACTCAGCATAAAAAACTTCATCATCATGATCCCGCAAATTCAAGACTGAATTCGTGAGAACCTATAAAAGTACTTCTACAGTGCGCACCAATTCAATAATATTGAATCAATATGCCAGTGTAGAAAAATGGGCATTAGCCACCGAGATTAATGAGAATCGGTATCACATAAACGCCCAACGATCACGCACTTCCGGACTGTCTATGAATGCACTATCAGATACACAGAGAATAAAGTGATGATCAGTAGTCGTGAAATATATTGTGAAATACATCATTTATAATAATAAACCGATAACACTCCTCCAATCCCACCAAGTTCCATTTTAGATAGCGTCACACACACGGCGGCTTCCCAGTAGTGGCAGAAGAAAATATAATGGGTGGGTCTAGACATGAATACTTAAGATCATCAGGTCGTTGATTGTTATGTTATAAATAGAATGTATATAATAGAATGGAGCCGGACAGAGCTCATGTTAGTTAGAATAGAGCCGGACATGTGATGCATCAGCTAGAATAGAGCCAACCGGCGGTGGTAGAGCGTAGCTGGAAGTACCATGGTAGAGAGTTTACGTACGGATGGGCATTCGAGGACGCCATGACAAGACCTCAACCGGATGCCGAGCAACTGATCAGACACCATAGAGTCTCTTCTATACGACTCGGTGGCCCTCATCTCGTGGTGAGGACTGAAGTCGATGCTTGCACCGGCCAAGCCGACAAGCAGGGTATAAGGTTATAAGTATATTGCTCATGTACTAGTGAGGAAACTCCTGAGTTTAGCTGAAAAAAAGCAAACAAATATTCCTCCAACATCACTTAGACCAAGAAAGACCGCTGGTTCGATTCCCAGGCCCGCCACTTTGCACCTACATCTAGCCAATTCTCTCCCGCTACAGTCAAACCAGTAGCGTGAAATATTTCCCCTCCGACCATTGCTACTATTTTAGACTCCACATCTGTCAACAATCCAGAATGCGAAAACTCTTAGTTGGAATATACCTTCGCTCTCCTCCACTCAGCACTTGACCAGGCATCCGAGGACGAAGATGAGGATGCCTCCACCTCAAGTTGCTACGCGACGAGGAGAAGTGTCTATTGATGATGGAATTCTGATACGGTATTTGATGTCCAGTAAACTGTCCAGGTCTTAAGTTTGGTAAGACCTAGTAAACTTCCCGCTGAGAAAGTGCAAGTGATCAAGAATGTCTGGGGCCTTAACTCTGGTAAGACCTAGTAAACTGTCCGGGTCTTGACTGTGGTAAGACCTAGTAAACTGTCCGGATCTTAGGTCTGCTAAAACCTAGTAAACTGTCCGGGTCTTAATTCTGGATGATGATGATGATGATGATGATGATGATGATGATGATGATATGATAGACTTTTCCTGCGTTGACCCGTGATTATGTAGCGTGTTCGTGGTATATGAATCAATACGTACGGAATTATTCTAGTTCCCCTTCAACGATGCCATCCAAAATCCCTCCCCTGTGGTGTTGTTTGCCGTGTGGTATTTTCGGGAAACGCGATCGAAATAAAGCGACCCATTATCGGAGTAACCTGCACAGGATTAAGGACAAGGCATGGCGTCTTCGGATAATAAACATCCACAGAAAAAGCGAAATTTTGTCCGGACATTATCGTAGTCTTATCATTTCGACGTTCGCGGTCCTAATCCGGGAGTTTTTATATGGTAATACTGCTAAAAGACGCATTCGTCGGTTCACCTTGTTTGGATCTACTCAGATGCTACTCAAACCACAGCCTCCAAGGCAACGAGGACTACTGCTGCTACTCAAACCATGGCCGCGGAAACGGCGAGGACTACTGCTACTCAAACCACGGCTCTGGAAGCAGCGAGGACTACTGCTGCTACTCAAACCACAACCCCAGAAACAGCTAAGGGCTCGTCAATAGAAGGTGCGAACACAGGTAATGTACTGCCAGTTTGAGTCCCCATAATTGAGTCATTGGAAGATTACACAACGGACGCAATAGATGATGATGACGATGAAGATGATGATCGAGATGACACTATGTCTGCGGGAGAGTGCGATCAAGAACCGGAGGGAATGCAGCAGGAGGAAGACGAGCAAGAAGACGAAGTGGTTAGCATGCGACGGTCTGCAACAGAGTCTGAACAAGAGTCTGAGCAAGATTCTGATCCAGAATCGGAGATGGGAGGATGTGATATGAACGCTGTGGAAGGCTTCGAACTGGGGGACACGGAAGAGAAATCCAGAGACGGGAGGCTAATTTCTCCCCGTAGAGCTGTGGGGTACCCTGGTAGTGATCGGGCGCTAGTTCCAGGTATGGACTGGTACGCAAATCTCATGGAACTAGCGGTATTCTATGTGCGAAGAGATGGACTTGAAACTATCTCCTTGGCTCTGCGTGAAATATCAGAGGCTCTTCCTGATATGTTTCCGACCTCTGGGGCTAATAAAACACCGGTGAATGACAGAGTAAGCCACTGCGTTGCTAGTGTTGGCGAATCCGAGACAATTTCACCATTCTACGACTCTCTCACCCCTGGAGATAAGGAGTTTCTTCGCGGACTGTCGTCGGTGACAGATAATGAAAGAGAGAGGCTTTTGTTTGAGAGGTTTGTAAAAATGCACTCCAGCCGTCGCAGGGGACGGCTTGGAGCCCGCCGTGGTATTCGTGAAGGTAGAAAAACTCCTCCGGTCGAATATGAGCTCTGGGAGTATCGCTTCATGTTGCATTATGTCGAGTACCGAGTACTGCGTCAGGAGGCATGTCATTTGCCAGTTTATAAATTGAGAGTCAAAGGGGAGGAGTTCTGGTCAGATTTCCCGCGATTGGTCAGTTTGCTCTGTGCCCAGTCAGGGGGTCGATACATTGATCCTAAGAGATCAGCATCAGCGTATTGCAATAGATACCGTAGCCGAATGCACAATGAATTTTGCTCATGTGCAAATATTGATCCAGCAGTATTTGTTGGAGGTCATTCTCGTGGTCGCAACCGGGCAGGGGATACATGCGGGCATAGGGGAAGCCGAAGTAGTGGTAGCAGCAGCAGTAGCAGCAGTAGCAGCAGCAGTAGCAGCGGCAGTAGCAGCAGTAGCAGCAGCAGTAGCAGCGGCAGTAGCAGCTGTGGCGGCGGACCGCCGCCGGCGGTGGCGATGGCGATGGTAATAGCGAAGGTTGATGCGGCTTCTCCGACTCAGGAGTTTCGTCCCAACCTTGCTCCACTTCCGGTTTCATTCAAATTCGATTCTTGAGATGGAGTTCTGCGTTTTCAGTCTCTCCCAAGGTGGATCTACAGTAACCATGCATGCGCGATTCATGTAACTGGACAGTTTAAGAGATATATGCGATGCTTCGCGTTGACCATACCAGCTGTAGACGAGGTACATGAAAAGTGAGAAAATAAAATTGAATTCTCGTAAATTGTTTGTCGAACTACCAATGCGTACGGACGTAAACTATTTGCCAAAAAGCAGTTTCGTGCTCGAAAAACAGTTCTCATTCGCATAATCTCATTGCTAAAAACGGTTCCGTGTTTGTGAAGCAGGTGTTAGTTGCATAAACTAATCAGTTCAAAACAGTTTATATTTGAAAAACAGTTCTTACATGCACAAATTTGTTGTTAAGGAACTGTTTTGAGCTCATGAAACAGTTTTCGACTCGAGTATCGGGCTTCACTCAAGCCATAGATCTCGATTCTCAGACCCAACTCTACCCTAAAATAGTGACAAATATGGCAGTACCACTTATCTGACATGAGTAAAAGAAATGGTATAATGAATTGAACAATGGGACACTTCCTGTCATTGGTTCGACTAGAACGTTAGAATGAATCTCCGAGTGATTCTAGCAAGACTAATTCTTGCTATCTTACGTCATATCAACATGTATGCACAAATCGTGCGCACTTGAGTCTCCTCATTGTGCTACAAGCGGGCAACAACAACATTGAATCACATTGCTCGCATCATCCTCCCGCTCCTTGAATGGAGGATTCAAGAATTTGAATGACAGCGCACATTTCTCCCGAAGGATGAAGTTGATCCATCAATCTGCTTGAGAAATCGCCAATCGTCAGCTAACTTCCGGGCATGTGCCGATCAGGGGTCGGCAGCGTGAATAACCTCGGGAATCGCAGCTTCTTCCCTGAAGCATGCGAGTCTTCCACAATATCTTCTTCTCCACCTTGTCAGTGTCATGAATAGTATTAGACTTCACCTGAGGCAAAGGTGAGCGTAAACTGGTAGGCAACGGCAAACATTGTTACCGAGCGATCCGTGGTGGAGTGACCATTCAAAGAGTGAATAAGTAGTCCGAATGATAATAATGAGAGATCCAAAATAACACGAGCACATCCTTGCACTCGTCAGGGTTTACCAACCTCACGTTACTAGTTGCCTTTTGGAGGGGTTCTCAGATAAAAAGAGAAGGCTGAATCTTATCATGACAAGTTACTGACGACCAGTAGTTACGGCTCTACTACTATGTTCTAAAGGTAGTTTGGGAGGAGGCAACGCCGAATGGGGAATCATACTGAGATTGGAGTTACTAGTCTTAAACTTATCATAACTCCATCAACGCGGTCATTGTCATAACTCAATTCTCATCATCATTCACATTAATACAATTCACACTTGATATTTCTCAATGGAGCCCTCAGCTGCTAGTGAGCTGAATAGTCTCACGCCGAATAATATGTGGTATAAAATTTTTTATTAATTCCTCAACATATCAATCCATGAGAGTTTCAAAACCCGTTTCACGTCGAGTGGCGTAATACTCGGTGAAAAACGCGATACTCGCACTATGCAGTTGTCGTGATTTTCCACTAGTGTTTTTCATATCACGTGCGTGCGTGCAGAACTATTCTGGCTTAACTACGAAGCGTGGGAGGCTATCAGATAGGTCAAACTCAGATCAAGACTTCGAAGAATACCTCCAAAAACGTGCGCAGAAGCTAACGGGATGCCCTTATGTTGCTTTGAAGGCGTCATCGTGAAGATCGTTCTATTAGAGTGGCGTTTATATGAGTGCGTCTGCATATGTCCACTCAAGCGTGAATTCTCGTCGTCATCATATCATCGCTCATGTCACTACGTGTGTGGATGGTCCGCCGCTCAAGTTGCTCCGCGACGAGGAGAAGTGTTGGGAGCCGTTCTGGGCCTCCATGTCAATGTTCTCAATGTCACGAGAAGATACACTCATCCCACTCGATTAACACAACCAGTCGATAATATCAATTAATACTAATGGATAGATAATAATCAACCCACCAAGCCTTGGGTTGCAACGATAGTACTTCACGTAAGGATGGTCCAACCAGTAAGGACCACAAACCAATAAAAACTCTTAATCTCATCTATACTTCACATACAAGCTCTAGCTTACTTAGCTTGAATGTCTACGATCACACAGAGCAAACACTACCGCGCACGCCCTAAAATCAAGTGCTCAGTTTGCTCACAACAGAAGTGTCTATTGTTGGAGAGGAACGGAGGGCTCGGATGCCTCACGATTACTGATGGGACGCAATGTGCCCTTCTGGAATGGCGTGCGATGAGCTCGACGAATGCGCAGGGCACCAAGGTGCAATATGTTAACATTTATGAGATTTGTCTATCGTTCACATTCTAGGTGTTCACATTCTATATGATGAACTGGTTTTGATCTCGCAAACATGATTGCCGTATTTCGATCGTCGTACTACACGAATTATCTACACGTCTCTTTTGCTTGCGTTAAGTTACCACTGGTAACTTACCACAGTATATGACATGACACGTTAAAACTAGGCCTCCTCGGAGAAGGGGCGGATCTCGCGTTATTCGCGCGAGCGCATGGGAAAAGAGTCGGCCGTGGTGGTAATGAGTTTGAGTAAGATGGAGAAGAATTATAGAGCGGCTGCACATGCTGGTATTCTCAAGGTAGGTGGGGGAATATACCCTACCTGCGGATTGAACTCGGATTCTCCATCTTAGGAGCGTGCCGTCTTACCCATTAGGCCAGCAGAGAGTATATGTTGTTGGTATTTCCGTATAGTTCCAGTGCTCCGTGCATTATCTCATATCTATCCTAATACTAGATTGTATCTACTACTCCTACCTCAAGACGTGAGAAATTAGTTTCCACGATTCATGCAAGTTGCATAAAGGCGAGCGAGATATGAATCACAACATGAGTAAGATATGAATAAATCACAACATTCTATTGCTGCCCTTGTCAAGGGTTTTCACGTGGTATCCATTTAGTCCAACTGTCCAACTGTCCAGGTGTCCAACTGATCTCAGGAGTAAGACATTAATAAGAAATTTTCGTGCAGTATTGCAGGAAGACATTAATGCAACATTAGTGCAACATGAACGCGACATGGGCATTATTTGTGACGCGGGGTCCTACTAGTCGTTAATAGCTTAAGTTTTTGCTCTTATCAATCGCTAGGGATTTCCAATAGTTCGTGTCGGGTTGTGGAATGTCTGTAGTGGTTCTTATTGCTTGTTATTACATCCTTTAAGTTAGTTGTCGTTAGTGATTGACCGATGTCTTCAAGCGAAGAACCCAAATGTCGCATCCGTGGTATGTCCGCTGCTAGTGAGGATGCCGCTGTCGCCGCTGCTGCTGCTGCCGTTGCCGATGAAGCGTTCCCTGAGGTGTCATTGTCGCATCCCTCTTCCCTTCCCGGACCGTCTGTGGAAGAAACCCAGCCCCCGCCTCCTCCTGTAGCCTCTTCTCAGCCTTCCCATATTGGTATTTTTCGTGTTCGGTTTCTTTGGTAGCGGGCTTCGTACTCTTGTTGTCCTTGCTTTTGTAGGTACTGCTGCTGGCCCTGACCTCGGTGTAGATCCTTTGTTTGATTCGCCTCAAATGATGGCGGAGGTGAGGGGCACGGAGAAAGCTTTGGCGGCCTCGGCCGCTCCTGTGAGCGGCGAAGCCGAGGGCCCAGCACCGGCTAACTTGCCCGCTGGGTTGTCGTTCAATCTCGAGGCTACCGTAAACATCCTCATCTCGAAGATCGATCGCTTGCTAGGTTAGCCAAATTTCCTCGGATTCGGGTTAGTTGCATTTTATTTTTTCAGCAATTGCCCTTGCCGGCCAGGCGGCAAGAAATTCGGCTTCATCTTCTCATCCCGATGCCGTTATCCCTCCGACTGACGAAGATTTGGTGACCATCCCTTTCGCGGGACCTCCTTCCTCCTCCGCCGCCACGTCCGTCGTCGCTATTACTGCTGCCGCCGACCCTTTGTTAGTCGTCCCTCCCTCCCCCACTTTCTCTTCCAGTCTCTCGGAGACTCTCTCCCCTTCGGCTCGGTCTCGTCATCCCCACCGCCGCCCTACCGCTTCCCCTAGAACCCCCTTCACACCCACCGAGCTGTCACTGATGTTAAAACTCGCTTTCGCGGCTCGGGTAAGGAACCTGAGAGCTTACCGTTGCTCGGATTCTGAGACAGCGAAGACGATCGTCACTCAGTTTGGGTCGCGGTTTTGGGCGGCGATACGGGACTGCCCCTTGGGGGAGTCTCTGTCGGGGAGGAGTGTTCCTACGCTTCGCAATAAGTTCAATGCTGACCTTCGGGAGTTGGTTGAGGGCTTTCCTATTAGTTTCTCGGATGGTGTGGCTCAGTATCTCCCCGAACCTGTGCTCCCGCCGTGGTTTTGGGATTCGGCCGTTTCAGGTGTAGCTCAGAGTCCCATATCCGGGGAACCTACCGGTAGTGTCGCTGCTGCTGGTGGTGATGGTGGTGTGCCTGTTAACACGACGAGGGCGTGGAGGGCGACAAGGAGGAGGCCAGCATCGAGGGTTTCTGGCCGGCCTACAACTACTACTACTACTACTACTACTAGTAGTCGCAATGTTTCTGCCTCGGGTTCTTCTTCAGCCACCGCTGCTGGTAACGTGGACGACAGGTCTGCTTCGTCTTCCAACTCTGATGATGGCAAAAGCATCTCTTTTCCCCAGTAATTTACACATGTCTGAGTTCCGTGTAGTGTTTCTGTTTTCGGAATGTCAGGCCCGTTCCCGTGAAGCGCAAACGAGTACTGTCAGAGTCCCCCGTTCCTCCTCTTTCCGCCGCTACTAAGAAGCAGAGACGTGTAAGTTCCTGGGATGTGTATTTGTTTTTATTAGGAGTGACGAAATGTAACCGTTCCCGTGCTGCGGGATCAACTACTGCCTTCCTTCTTACGACTTCGTTTACATACATATTTGTTTTTCAGACTACAGCCACTATTACCACCACTACTACACGTGGTGTTACTTCTGCGTCCTCATCTTTTACATCCTTGACGGGATCCAGCAAGCTCCGAACGTCCGACTTGCCCACGTTCTCGATTCCTGGGCCACCCAGACTTCTCAATAGCAGTTACACCTACTGGACTACCTCTGAAATAAACCGTTTAGTGGCCGGGGTCAAGAAATACGGGTTTAATTGGACTCACGTGTCCCGGAGATGTTTTTCTACCAATATCCACCACCGTCCTTCCCGTAGCGGTCAGCAATGCCGCGACAAATTTAGGGCCTTGTATGCTAGCGGTGAGTATTCTCTGTTACTTACTTATTCATCCCTTATTCTTTTCCAGGTAAGATTGACGTTGAAGGGTTTCGTGATCCCGGCGACTCAGCTGATACGACCATTAAGAAGGCGCCTCGTAGCCCTTCTCCTCCGCCCCCGCCGCCAATTCCTTCTTCCTCCTCTTCTTCCACTAAGCTCGAGCCTACACAACGCGAGTGATGAGGCCTACAATTACTCATTTATGTATTGCTCGCCGAGCAATGCTCGGGTTTCGAGCCTCGGCATTGTTCTTGGACTCTATGTCGGCCACCGACTACTACCATTACTAGTAAGACTGTGATTCGTCTAACTGAGGGATACAATGGGATGAGATTGCGCTTTCCTGTTTTAGGTAATGTTGTGAACTTTTGCGTCGTATCTTCCCCATTCATCAGTTGTTTCAGTCGGTCTCTTCTTCACTACTCCCTTTTCGTTGTACTGCTGGTAACAAGTCAAAATTTGCTGAGTACGGTTGTTTCCTGCTCACCGTATTCTTATTGCTGCTTGAGTGATTGTTGGTAGCCTTCCTTGGTGCGGTGTGTGTGAGCGAGGCGTGTAAGTGTCGTGAATAGTTTCGATTGTGTGCATTCGGGATGTTACTTGCACTTAGTTCGAGTGTTATTTAATGGCATCAGTAATTGTTAGTGTCTCGTTAGTGTCTTAATAATGTCGTTATTGTGTCTTGTTAGTGTAATTTCTGGGTAGTACTTGTTTAATGTCTGCTTCAGATGAGTATTTTTATCGACCAGGGAGAAGGGTTTCAAGTACACGGCCTCCGGCTTCGGGCAAGCCACTTGTGCAGTTTGGGTTTACTCCACCAAGTCATCGTAAGGGACCATCCATTGCAGGGTGTCTCGTTTTCCAACTCAGAGTAAAACAACTCGATTGTTTGTCGTTGTTATTACTTTAAAACTCGTGTCATTGTTGTTGTTGTTGATGATGATGATCTAAATTGAATGGCGTTTGAGCGAGTTGTGAATGGTTCAGCTATGTTGAGGTTATCACTTCCTCGATCGACTCTCTGTCAGCGCGCTGATTGACCAATCGAGAAGACCAACGAAATCCGTATTATTATGAAATTAACCGTATTTCGATGAGAATGTCTGCGATTGGGACTCCACTATAGGAAAGCAGCCTCTTTTAATCCTTACACGTACTATAATATTCATTTCACCTATTATTATCATCGTCATAATAATAATGGTGTACAGTTATGATGTTGTTGCTCATCTTACTAAGGAATCAAACGGTTATTATCCTCTGAAGAATATACATATAGTTGCTCTATCGTAGTGAACTAGTAGGTGGTGATGAATTGATGGTTGCAGGTATTGTAAAGAGTGTGAAAATACTCAAAAGTGTTGTGAGCAGCTGTGACTGTTGTTAAGAAGCGATAAATGTTCGAAAAACGTCCGTGCTGGGAATCGAACCCCCATATCTTATCATATGTCAACGTTGTTGGCAAGCAATGAGCGCCGCCGCTGCTGCATTAATGTTTTCAAAGACACTGGCTGTGTGGAGCGGCATTCAATTTCGCGCCGGATAATACAGTGAGGATTGTTAAAGAAGACTCACAATATAGGGAAGGAATACAGGTATCTTGGGGTATCTTGAGGTTGAGCGTGCGAGATACAAGATAGGTCCAGATGAGTTACATGTGAATCTAATTGAGTAATGTGTTCCCGGCCATGTGGAAAACTCAAATTGAGTCGTCCCCCGGGAAAATCATAAATTCCTGGATGACTCCCTGTAGGATAGTTCAAAATACCTTAGTTGTCCTTTTTCACTACGCATCGCTTCGCCTCATTCCCCCCAAATTGTCTCAACAATCCAATAAGGTAGACCAGTGATCGTCGTCGTTTAAATTCTCATGCACAGCAATACGGAAGCTTCTACCTCTGTGGGCTCGGCCGAGGTTTTCTTTTCGGAGATTCTGTTGGGAGTGGACGCGGTATGGTCAGCTGAGTTCTTTGCTGCCTCTACTGCTACTCTACAGGTACATCGGTTAGGTTTCACTCATCGTACGCCCTAGAGTGTCGTCATCATCATCATCACAGTGATCATCACTTGAAGCTGTTGGACTTGTGCCGAGATAGACCTGCCAGGGCGAAAATGTAAAGTACTTGTGTATATGAGCCTTGAGATGGTACGAGATAATAGGCGCGACGACGACGACCGCTGAGTTCACTCAATCTCAGCTTCGTACTTGTGTGATTTATTGTCGGCACTCGACGGCGTCATACTTGTTGAGACTACGCAGTATGCGCGGGTCTTCCGGTGGCTGCTGACCCCTGATGGGTGTAGGATCGGCGGCTATAACCTCTATGGGAAGCAGGTGGTCATTGGTGGTGAAATGAGTCAAGTTGACGTAAGACAACTGTAATTATTATTATCATGCCACCATCTACAGACACAAGAAGAAGAAGAAGAAGAAGTTATCAGAAGAAGTTATAATTGGATTATACAGGTTACGAAGGATACTTTTTTTGGCACAAGTGGGAGGAGATGGATTCTCGTAACCGAAAAATCGAAAAAGATGAATACCACATTATCATTCTCGGACGTCACTGAGACCAATCACGCCCTACAGTACCAACCACCACCGTGGGGATCGACAAAGTGCCACCGTCACGCCCTACGAGTTGTTAGAGCTCTCGACAGTTGGTAGAGTTACTCGGTGGTCCTGACTCTGCCAATCAGTCTTCTTGGTCCTAGAAGTCCAGTATGAGGTACTTCAGGTACCCTTCAACTGTGCGTCGCGCAATGTCCATGCTCCTCCTCATGTTGACGGATGAAGACCAGGACCTCATCATAGACTCTGAGGCTGGCAGAGTTTGTCGACTCATACAACAGTCTTATCAATCGAGTATGTCGGTTCAACTGACCGATTCTCTTGATGCTTTGTTAATCGATGACCCACTACGTAACACAATATTTCAGGGAGCCTGGTACGATCCAGAGTTGCTTCCTCTCGGAAACGACAGACTTACATCGAGAACCTTACGATACCATAATAACGACATAGTCACCTCATCATAGTTGTTGGAATTTGTGCTTTCCCGACTGCAGAACTCGATGCCATGATGGTCTCAATGAAGTAGAAAAACTCTGACTC